TTTCTTAGCTTCTGGAGTAAATCCCAAGTGGCAGAAACTACCTTCTCTGACTCACCATTCTCTACAGTTTTTGTTTTCCTGAGTCTGTACTTTTGTTTTGTTTCTTTAAGTCTGCACACCAACTTATAGTTATCCTCACTGGTGGCAGCAGTGACTAGGAATCTGGCTTTATGTTCTGACCAGTTGGTGATCTGTCAGGTAGAATTGGAATCTTAGGTGAGAGATGACAGTATATTTGTTTGTTCTTTGTGTTGTTGGTAATTTGTCTGTTTTTCTATTTGTGTGCTCAGATCAGGAAAATATTTTGTGCCCAATGGAAAAGCAATCAGCCTTTTGAGGTCTGGAGGAGTGAAATTTTGTGTTCCAGTGTTTGCCTTTGATCTGTAGTAGCTGTAGAACTTATGCTGTGTCTGCTCTTTGTCTGTCTCTATACATGAGAAAAAAGAATCACTGTGTGGGGGTGAAATATTTTCCTACCTCCTGAGGATAATAACAATAAATTAAAATAGAGGAGATCTGCTGTTCTGACTGGTTTATAGAGACAAACACACATTTAAATAAATCTAACATTTTTAAATTCCAAGAAAATGTAGTAAAATTCTGATACAGTCATCCTTCAGTATCCTTGGGGGATTTGTTCCAGGACCCCCAGCACCTACCAAAATCTGAGGATGCTCGCATCCCATGGATACTGTATTTTCGATCTGTGGAAACTATGGATAAGGGAGGGCCCACTATGTAAGTGTCTTTTCCTTGTTTTATCAGTATATAGAGTAACATAAGCGTAATTTCATTTTTTAAACAAGACTTGGATTTATCATGAAGAAACTAGTTTATCTAAACTTCTTAAATGTCTTACATTAGTTTACTGAAAACACAAGCTAAAATATATAAGATTAAAATATAAAATCTGTACACACACAAACCAAATTATAATTGTGACAAACCTTTCTACATCAACAATAATTATGTTCTGTGATTTGTCAGCTTGAACATAATTTTCAATATCTTTAAGTACCTTTGTCTTAAAGTGTCTGATTGTTCCAGATTGTAAAAGAAGACAATGAAGTACAAGTTGATGGAAAGGGAAAATTGTAGGCTTACATAAAGAGAGCCTGATTTGACTTGGTTTATAATACCTGCAAATAGCACATATATAAAGAGGTAGCAAAATGTTAAAATTTTAGCAAAGTTTGCATAATCTTGATGGATTTATTCATAAAGTAATTTAAAAAAATTTTAACGCTTGACAAGCACCCTATTAATGTAAAACTAAAATGCACTTATCTCTACTGAAATGACAAACTGATCTTGTAGAAATCATCCTATGCTTAGAAAAGGTGGTAAAAAGTTATTCTACATAATCTGCCCACAGAGTAGAGATTTAGTACTTCACAAGAGTAACTTTTTGTAGTTTGTGCTAACTGGGATATATCCTTCCATATTTAAAATAACAAAAACAGTTCCTCATTTCTGAATGATTTAAGGTTTCCTGTTTATTATAAAATAATCTATTGTCACTTTATTACGTAGCCAACATCACTGCTCTCAGGCATACACAATCCTCTATTATTCAAGTGATGAAATCTCCTCTAATTAATATTTGATTTTGCCTTCCCAAGATCAGACAAGAGCCTAAATTCAGAAAAATTGTTTTTTCCCAAGATATCTTATATGTGATCTATCTTTAGGTTTTCTAGGAGGGTCGCTGGGCAGTAACAAAGATTTGTTCTTTAACCTTACAAAAAGAAAGATGCTAAAAATAATTAGTTTGTTTGATATGCCCTTTAGGTTTAAATAGCCCAACACTATCAAGAATTGTGTAGAAAGATTTGTCAAATCAAATGGGAAACTCAGCCTTCCCTATGACAATTTTGTACAGGTAAAATATTATTATTATAAATAATGTTCAAAGACTACTTTACAGAAAGGCCCCAAATATATGCCACTCTCTGTGATATGTTTTTACCCTCAGGGAAAAGATTGATTAAAAAGACCAACATCTTATACCCTGATAAGGAGTATTAACTGTCCTTCATGTTGATATTGTTTGTTAAATTAACCAGTTCACCTAGTGGTCTCTACTTTCCTCTTGAGCTTGCCTAAAGACTCTGCTATTAGTTATAGACTAGAATGTGTTTATAATAAAATAATAATAATAATAATAAAACAGTTCCAGAACCTCATGGATAGTACTCTACCAGAGACTCTGCTATTAGTTATAGACTAGAATGTGTTTATAATAAAATAATAATAATAATAATAATAATAATAATAATAAACAGTTCCAGAACCTCATGGATAGTACTCTACCAAGTACTTTTATTGCCTGATATTTCAACAAAATACATGTATGGATGGAGGTTTCTGAGCTGACNTAATAATAATAATAAACAGTTCCAGAACCTCATGGATAGTACTCTACCAAGTACTTTTATTGCCTGATATTTCAACAAAATACATGTATGGATGGAGGTTTCTGAGCTGACATTGTGTAGACAAGAATGAGACAGTACTAGGCAGACAAATCAGATTGTCAGGACTCTTTTTAGTCCAGAAATAGATATGGCTTCATGAAATCAAATTAATTACATAGAACTGATAGAAATGATAACAGAAATTGAATTTCTAAATGTGGATATGCAGTTTGGAATACCATTGGTGTTACTTTTATTATTTTTTTCCTACTTATTCCTGTATTTGTATGTATTATTTTTAAGGTTCTATTTTTTGATGAGGAAAACCCTTTAGTGTTCATCCTGCTATGTCTCTAACCTCAATTTAGCTGACTCTGATCCTGCAAACTAAGTGAAATATTCTTTTAAAGGTAGCTTATTCTCATTGATTCCTCAGAATTCAGGAAGAAATATTTTTCGAGTCACTTTACTTTTTAATGGCGATATCATTATTTGCATAGGCTCAATAAGAACCTGTCTTCCTTTTTACTGGGATATAATTAAACAGACTATACAATGAAGGCCAAACCTGGAGTGTCACATTTGAAAATAAGCTTCATTTTATCATGTGTGACAACTATTAAGCCCACTATTAAGGAAAAGGGATTACAACTTCATATTTGCAGCAATACTCACAAAGCTCTCCCATGAACCCGTTTATGACTTAAAGTGTCCCAACTTTACAGGCAGTAAGGAATTTTGGTCACTTCCTGGATTGCCTGGAACCTTAGCAGATTTGGAGAATCTGGAGGAAACAGAAATTCACCAACACTTATGGACGTTGAGAATGAAACCCAGTGGAGGTGAATTTCTTGAGTTTGGTTTCCTATTTTTGGAACAGAAGAGTAAGTGAAAGCATTTAAGGAAGATCTCTGGAGTGATGGAATCCAGTGAGAATGCTCTCCTAGATGCCTTAATACATCATTAGAAGTTAATTCTCTGGCTTTACTAATAATTGCTCAGCACAGTATAGCACTATATTTGTTGTCCATACGTAAGAAGGCTTTTATATGCTAATTAAAACTTCCTCTGAATTTATGTCAAGGAATGAAGCCCAAACACAATGCCATTTTGTGACCATGAATAATCTCTAAAGGTTATTTATGATAGCAAAAGGGACTGTCTTACCAGAGCACTGTCTAACTGACCTGCCCAGGGACCCCTAACCCTCTAGGGTATGCAGTTTGTTTTCATTCACTCTTATTTGTTAGGATATTGGAAAGCTCTGTGAGCGTGGACATTAATGTACCAAAAACTGGGAGTGATGCAACTGATTCTTGTTCTGAAATGTCAAACTCTGTATACATGAAAATGGTTTCTGTCCATTATAATCCAAAAGTTACAATTTTATTGTCCTATATGGCATTAACTAGTTTTGTATATGACTCAATAATCTTATTCTAGCACACTATCTTTTAGTAATTAAAATACTTCCGATGACTCTATACTTTTTAAAACTAGTTTTACCATCTGTGGCTTCTCTCATGAAGGAAATCATTAATCATTAATGAGTCAAAATAATCTCTGACACATATTCATTCTAAAAGAAAAAACAAAAACCTGTGTTTAAAAGAGAATGGAAAGATAGAGTTTGTTCTCATTCATTAGCGGGACTCCTAAGGGATGTTTCCTCTTGTCTTCTTACGTTCAATATATTCCACCATAAGCATCAATTCCTTTTAAATGGAACATCAATTCAATAAATTTTGTGAGTATCTTTAGTTTGGAATGTGCTAAGAGACATGGCTGAAGAGAGGATGGGATGTTGATCAGTGTGGAGAAAAGACCGAGAACCATGAGGCAGCCCTTCAACTTTCCAGACAAGTTGCTACAAAGACAAATGCACTGCCTAATTCCCCATGAATCATGACTTCACTGCTAACTTCTACCATAACCATGCACATGCAAATGTAATTATATAAATAATACAGACTGGCGCTTCCTCATAGTCTTAAAAAAAAGTTCGTAAGATTTGTAAGAAATTTAGTAAAATTCACAACTACCTTTGTTAGCTTTTTCAAGAATTTATACTTGTAGAAACTCTGCAAAGAAACTAAATTAACATTAGGCTCCTGCAGGCATTCAAAATACTGTACCCACCTGTAGGGGACTGAATGTCCCCCCAAACTCACTGAAGCTTGAATTGTGTCCCCCAAGTTTTATGTATTAGAAACTTGGCCCCCACTGTGACTGTTAAGAGGGTGGGAAATCCTGTTATGGTAATTGAAAGGCAGAGACTTGAAGTGGTGATTAGATTTTAGGACCATGCCATAGTGATTGGATTAATAATAATGGTCAAGGGCATGGTTCTGAGGGCTTTAAAAGGAGAGTGAATGAGGAGGTTAGTCTCTCTGCTCTCTCTGCTCTGCCATTGTTGCAATGTGATACCCTGCCATCACTGTCACCACCACCAAGGCCTTCACCAGCTGTGCTTCCTGGACTTAGGACTTTCCAGCCTCAGAAACTGTAAGCAATATATTTGTTTTCTTTATAAAGTACCCAGTTCCATGTATTTTGTTATAAGCAGCAGAAACAGACTAATACACCACCCATGACTAATAACAGTGGCTTGAGAAGAGGAAAGACAGCAAGAGAGAATCTAGGAGAAAAAGCAGTGGCTTGTGCACATGGAAATCCCCCCCACCCAACACACACATATGCATGGATTCTGTCTCCAAGGCTGCCCTGGAGGTGCTGGTCAATGAAACAGTGAGGTCAACAGACGAAGATTACCAATCGCTCCATCTCCTGCTCCCTGAGTCTTTCCTCCCTCTGTCGCCGGTGATAATCCATCAGGTCATCGCCTCCTGAAATGGAGCTAATGCTGCTTTTCCGTTCGCGAAGGACAGGCTGAGGAGTTCCTGAGGCCTGCCTGAGGCTGTCCAAATCAGCATCATCTAACTCCACAGACCCACAAGAGAAGTTCCTCCTGGCCACAAACACTCTGTCCGGCTCCCCGGGATGAAATGAATGACTTGGGCTGGTCCCCGAGTATGAAAGTCCCCTATCAAAGTCATCAGAGGCACAGGACGAGGTGGAGGCCAGAAGCATCTTCCGAGCTACTCGAGGACTGGCAGGGACACTGAGGGTGGAACTTACATAAGGATTGGCCTCAGATGCAGAGGTTTTATAGGGTAAAGCCCCTGAGCTTAAAGAAGAAAAATTAAGGTAATTGTCGTTGTCTATTATGGTATGAGGTAGATCCTTTTCTCCCAGTTTTGTTCGTTTGGAATTGCCCAGAGAGTTTCTTGGAGGCAAGCTGAGAGGCGTCAGCTGGTTCTCTGTGGCTTTGTACAACCTGGGAAGCGATCGGCTATAGGCTCCCATGTGACTTAGGCTGCTGCTAGAGTACTTCCTAGTTCTTAAACTGGTGTTTTCAGACGCTGGCTCCTTTTGTCTGCTTAACTTGGGCTGAAGTGTCAGGTTGTCCTGAATGTCCATTTTCCTGGCTTGCTTTGGGCTTGAAGGCATGCTTGCTGCCCCTGATCTGCTGATGGGAGAGGGGCCAGTATCACTCAGGGAACCTCCATTCCACATGGCCAGGAGTGAGCCAGATGCCTTGCGTCCTTCCAGCCCTCCGAGAAAGTAGACACTGTCATGTGATTTATTCCTTGAGCTATATTTGGAATAGGGAGGCTTCTCTGAGAGCCTTAAGGACCTTTCATTGTCCCGGCCAGTATAATGCTCAAAGTCCGCTCTCCCAAGCGGATATCCACTGAGGGAGGGGGTGGTGCTGAGCACAGGAGTGGGAGGTTTCACGGAAATGTTTTTGTCAGTTCCATCACAAGAGAACTGCTTGCTTCCCTGGATTTTGGCCAGGGAGGGGCTACTTCTGACACTAGTCCCCAAAGGAGAAGGGCTTCTCTTAGCCGGCACAGGTTGTGAGAGGGTTAAATAGGAGCCAGAGTAGTCTCCATTGGCTTTAAATCTCAGACTGGAAGAGTATTTCTTTGGGCTTAGGGTCTCCATCATGTTTTGGGAATCGTTCTCAAGGGAATGCACTGCAAAGCTTTCCTCTAAGCTACCATTTTGCATGTGGCTATGCTCAGACATAATCTTGCTGGAATCTGAAAAGGAAAAAAAAAAAAGAGTTTTACTTAACAAAAAAGACTTCAAAAGAAAAATACCCTGTCAGCCTACATCTGACCAGTCCTGCAGTCTGACCTAATGCAACTAATAAACACAAACTCTGTTTTACTAACAAACCTTGAAAAATTGTACTGCAAATTGAAGAAGATTTAATTGAAGGAGATCTGAGATGGGTTTTGTACAAAAGAAAAATAACTCAGAAGGACAGCAACAGTACTTGAGGGAAACAAATCCCTAACCACGTAAAGGTGCGGAATTAGACTGGTACATAAAAAAGACCCTCTGGTGTTCTAGTCCTTGCAGGACCACCTGCTTCGTGAGTACCTAGCAAGTGCCCAAAGGGTCGATGCAATGAACCTTCCTTTAGATGTCTCTGCTAGAATCATTAACTTCTCAGAAATAAAGTCCCAAGAAAATAAAATTCACATTCTGGCAGAGAATGAAAATTTTATGTTAGAAGCTGGTCAATAACACGAGCGTTAGAAGACAGTTCTTTAAACAGGGGCTGTGGGAGTTACTGTCTCAGCAAAAAGACTTAAAGCTCCTGTACTCATCAGAAAGAGGCAGGTGACAATAGAGAAAAAGGGTGTTCCCCAAATTGTTGCCCCACAATAGGGAGCTGTATTTAAAAACCAGAAACTGTTGTATGCTTCGAATTCCCTGGTACTTCAAATGCCCCATGCTCATCGTTGATATCAAACCCTCTCCTCTAGCAGAAACACATTTCTCCCTTGAGTACCTAAAAACCAGAAACTGTTGTATGCTTCGAATTCCCTGGTACTTCAAATGCCCCATGCTCATCCTTGATATCAAACCCTCTCCTCTAGCAGAAACACATTTCTCCCTTGAGTACCGATCAGTCCCCATCCATTCCTCAAGGTACAGATCATCTTCTATGATTAAAATTTTTTAAAAAATTTATGCACCCATAAGAATATGTTTGGGGCCCTAGAATGAACATTAACTTAAGAAACTAAAGTTTCGGTCTATGTCTTTGAATTACAACCATCACTGCAAATGAGAAGCCTTATATTTCTAACTGATAAAAGGATTCTCCTTAGATTATCAGTGAAGGGAAAACACAATTTAAACATTCTCATTGAACTCATGCACTGTTGACACTGTCCTCCAACCCTCAGGCACCTCAGACATTAATTACTACATCTCTGGTCTACATATAACCAGTATCACGTATGGTGAGTAATCAGTTTCATAATGTGATTGTCTCTGTAACTAGGCCACAAGTTTAAGAGGGTTACTTCTAGTATTTTTATCTTATCCCCACCCCTCTGGCTCCCATTGCTCCACAGGTGAGAAACTCAGTAAACAAAGTTTTCAATTTTAATCACAGCCTTCTTCACTCCCTCCCAGCACAGATTGAAGACCTCCATCCTGCTTGCTCAGCCTCACAGACTTCCTGGGCAAATTCGGGCAGCCTACCTAGTAAGGAACTGCTTCTTATGCACAGGCTGGGACTGAGAAACAGTCTGGCTGCTTAAATCCTGGTGATGGGTTAAATACCCAACTGCCCATAATGCTGTATTCTCCCCCAACAAGCTCTGCCTTGGGTTCCTTACCCTCCAGCTCAAACCCCACCCAGACAGATACAAGCATAATTTATCTTTTTAAGTGTACCTCAAAAAATTGAGGTTCTCCACTAGACTTGGCTCCCAGCTGGGATCTGGTCCTGCCATCTGGCTCTTGCCAGGTCTTTCATTGCTCAGGGACCATGCCCTCTCTACCCCTGAGACAAATGCCCCTCTCAACATTACTACTAAATGTCTATTACTACCAATTCAGACCTTGAAAGCAACACCAGCCTTGTTTGATACATTTCTCACCATGCCCCCTTGAGGAATGAAACCAAGACCCCTAGTCTTGGTACCTTCTATTCGGAATTAACTTCATCTGTGATTGGTTCGCCATATTAAATTCCAGCAAGCCTTGGCCAATTCTCTCAAGTTAAATACAGCATTTCAGAATTGAAGAAAGAAGGAAATAGATGGATCCTGAGGACATTACAGTGTTATTTATTATAACTGAGTAAGCTTGAAAAAAAGTTGAATAAGCTATATTGTACATGATATGAATGAATATTATGCAACCACTTAAAATCATATTTTGAGGTATATTTTACCAATATAATGTTAAGTACATTTTAAATAACATACGTACAAGTGCAGTTTTTTTTATACAGTCATCCATCACTTAATGACACACATTCTAAGAAATGCATTGTTAGGTGATTTCGTTGCTGTGTGAACATCATAGAGTGTATTTACACGAACCTATTGCTCTTACGCTACAAACCTGTACAGCATGTTACTGTACTGAATACCATAGGCAATTGTAACACAATGGCTACAACGTCACCAGGTTATAGGATTTTTTTCAGCTCCATTGTAATTTTATGGGACCTCCATCGTATATGCAGTCCGTCACTGACTGAAATGTCATTAGGTGGCACATGATTGTATATACACCCACCCATATTCATGGATTATACACACAGGTATCTCCTGTGTATATAATGCACAATGAGTGCAGTTTTCTTATACATACACCCAACCATACACATAGGTACTCAGACCAAAATCCTGGGAGTCATGATTCTATCCTGGGAGTAACTGATCTCTATCACTAACACCCCCTTCCTCATTTATCTATCAACAAATCCTATCAACATTGTCCTTAGAACATATTCTGAATCTGATCACTTCTTACCGGTTCCACTGCTGCCTCCCTAGTATAAGCCAATATCTTCTCTTGCCTCTGTTATATGCCTGTTCTCCTACAGCAGCAAACAATAACAATGTATTGGAAGAAATCACACCAAAAAATTAGTAGTGCTTTCATCTGGGTGGTAGTATTACCAGTGATTTTTAATTTACCTCTCTCATACCAGTTTCTATTTTCCACACATTTTATATAATGCTTTTGGGTTGTTTGACAATCAGAAAATAAACCACTTTGCATAAAATACTAGAATACAATCTGTAGCAACATTTCATTTTTCAGCTGATTAGACTCTCTTTTTTCCTTAACTCTTGCCCAGTTTTTGAGCCAGATATTAACTTTTCCAAAAGAGATTATTTTAAAGAACTTCTTGATCAGACTAACTTAATATGTAAATATTTGAAGACTGCAACATTTTTTTCAACTCTTCTAAATGACTCTGACAAAAACATTAATTACCAAATTTATCCATCCCATACTTTAAGCATCGGAAACTAAATAAAATATACCACCTTCCCTAATAAGAATAAAGCTAATAGAATGGTTACCAGAAAAGTCTCCAGATGTTTGCTGAACATAGCTTAGACAATAACTTTAGTATCCTCATTTTAAAAAAATGTAGTTACTAGGATATTTCCTTATTTGAAGTGGTTCTGCATATTATATAGGGAAAAAATAAAAATCTCAATGGATAGTTTCAGGTACCTTATATTTTAAATAGGTATTAAGTATCTACCATGTATCAGACATTTATTTAGCAGGCATTAGAGTTGCTCACTAACATTCCAGTTTTCCTTTCAGCAACATAGTGGTGTTTCTCTTCCTCATCCTCGTGATGTTAGGGGTAGCTATGTCCCTTGCTTTGATAAATGAAATATGAGAAAAGGTGATCTGTCAGTTCCATGCTAAAGAATCAAGAGCCAAAGCATGATCTGCCATTTCCCATCCCCCTGCTAAGACGACCAGCCTCCATCCAAGTTTGAGGAGGCTTCGTGAGCCTACACTCCTAACTTAGGACAAGATGAAACAGGGCCATTGCAAACCCAAGATTATCCTCAGCCACTGAGATCTGGGGGTTGTTTGTTACTATGAAGATGCTCTGAGCTAGGCATTGGGGAGTATATGGTGAAAGATATCATTTCCTGCCTTTACAGACCTTACAGTCCAGTGGGAAGGATCAACATATGAACAAATGATTGCTGTACATGCCTTAACAGAGAACTGATTGACAGACTGGTAAAGGTACATGGAGTGGGGCTAACCCAGTGAGACTGGTAGTCTTGGGAAGGTTATGGTAAAAAGAAATGACAATGAAGCCAAGTCTCACTGAAGGAAAGGAAATCAGAAGGATATCATACAGTGGTAGCAGAAAGCTATTTAAACATCTATACTTTTGTGAGTGTAAGGATACAGACAAAATTCTGAGCCCATTTAAGGTCTCAACAGGGGTAAATCTGACAAACATCCTATCTTTGATAGAATTAAAATCAAAATTGTGGAGGAAAAACCAGGTAATATTCTATATCGTGATCTTCAAAATCTAGAGATGTAACTCTCCTGGGATGAACTGTATTTAATAATAATGTATTTCTCTCTCAAAGTTATCTAAATTCTTTTCCACCTGTACAACTGTGTAAGATATGCCCTCTGAGTCCAAGCGAGATACCTACCCTAAGAGCAGGTAACTTGGACAGCAATCATCAGCATTTACGATATTTCAGGCAAGAAAAAAAAAAAAAAAAAAAAAGAAAAGAAAAAAATCCGTAAAGGAGATGTCAGAATATACAAGAAAAAAATTAATGACAGTAGGAAAGACTTCAGTTTGAAGGTTATATATACAAAATGGGAGACAGAAATAAATTAGATAGAAAAGGTATTCCTACAATGTGCAGACACAGAAATCCAGAAAGCAGGCCAGAGCAGATGTCATTAAACAGAAGTCAAAAGCTAAACACTGAGCCCAAACTCTGCATTTTAAATATTTACTCTAACAGTACAGGATTGAAAGGTTTAACATCTTATGTCAAAATGGATACTTAAAAGTTTAACTTTTGACTCAGCAGTACAAGATATTGATGTCATTTACATGATAAAATATATTAATATATTTGAACCTGTTCACAGTTGCAAATGCTACTTAATCAGTGAAATGAAATATTACCAAGCTCTGCCCCCTCTTTATTTGGGCTAATAAAACTATAGAGTATTAAACTACTACAGATTCCCTTCTACCCCACAGGGT